AAAAAAATCAAGTAACTTTAGAAAAATTAAGACAAGAAAAAAAGAAAAATATTGTGATAATAAAGCATTTTAATAGTTGTAGCTTTAACAATGATCAGGAGACCAATATACAAAAATGCTTAAAATTTTTGAAAGGCATAATACTAAATAGTGACTGTATTATAGAAAAAGAAGTATAAGAAATATATATAGTAACATATCTCAATACAAGAAAGTTAATCAGAAGAACATGAAATTTAAAAATCCTCAACTCAAGTTAGTACTTGAAAAAAGAATCAAAGAAGTAATTTATAGCAATCAAAACCCTTTCAAGATTCAAAACGATAGAGTAAATTATGTGAACATTGAAATCTGAAAAGAAGTTATTATCAAAGAACTTATTAAAAAAGGAGCATATCAAGATCACCTGATAAATATACTTCAATGTAACCTTGAATTTAAAGAAAAACTAACCCTCTATTTCAATGGATCACTTATTAATCATGGAAAAGAAGATATAAAGATGTAAGCAGCTTGAATTCAAATAGAAAAAGAAGAAAAGAAAAGCAAGTTTTAAATAGGAATAAACAATTGGCACTCACCTATAAGAGCTGAATTGATAACAATCATAATAATACTTCTGGTAGCTTTAATTGAAAGCATAGTAGAGATCCTTACAGATAGTCAAATATGTATTTCAAAATAGAAATCTTTAGAAAAAAAAGACTCAAAAAAGACACACAAGAGATGGCTTAAAGAAAAAAATTAATCTCTATGGATACATATGGTAGAGCTAATAAAAAAGAAAAATATGGATCTAAAGCTTACAAAAGTCAAAGTACACTCAAATAACTCTTATAATAAAAAAACAGATAACTAAAGAAGTTCTAAAATTTCTACTGATCAAACAAAAAAATCCCACTTCACATAAAATTATTACTGTAATCAAGTGACAAGAAACAACTTTAGATAATCAAATTAGGCAATTCATTAAGAATATTAATAATAAAACAACAGTTTATTGGTGAATACAGCAAAACAGAACAAATAAAAAATAAAGTTATCAAATTTCAAAACAACAGGTTCACACATAAGATTTAGTATGAAAAAAGGTTAAAGATAGACATACACAAGATACATTTTTTAAACAATTTTAACAAAGAAGCTTTCTTATTAAACTGATTAATGATAAGCTACCCATCTTAAGTAAGTTGACTATAAGAAGACTAGATTTATATAAGCAAGCAAAATGTATTGCATGTAGTTAACAAGATGAAACTATAGAACACTTGTTAGAATGTTTAGCCTATAAGAACTAGTTGTAAGAGGCATGAAATAAAGAAGTAGATGGAATTACTAGAAACTTTAAAGAGCTATTGTAGAAAAGAAAAAGAGAGGCAAAAGAGAAAAATTTCAGACTGGTTATTAATAATCATGAAGAAATAGGAGAGTTTGATAAGTAAATTACTAAAGTAGTAATACAAATTTCTGGAACCAGTCAGAATATACTAAGTTTCTGTACTGATCTTATAAGAATTAATCTTATTCTAAAAATAGTTGATTTAAAATGTCAAGATAAATATATAGAAAGAATAGCAAGAAAGTGAATAATAAAATATAAAAAAGAGTCTGCAATCAAGTTTGAAAAGAAGTCTGGAACAAGAGATACAAAAAGGTAATCGAATAAGAACAAATACAAGGAATTAATAAAGAAAACAAAATAAAAAGACTTCTTTGCCTATCTGGTCAGAAAACTATGATCCTGAAGAAAAGAAATCCACTACTTGAAGAAGAAAATCTTAAAGATGAAAGCCTTTAAGAAATTTTAACAAGAAGAGTAGAGTATAGAATAAAATAATTGGGTTTTAAGCTTTGTTAGAACCTTGCAGAGTGATCTGCAGTAGTAATCTGTAGGAAATGAAGTTAACAATTGGAAGGTTTTTACTTGAATTGCTACTGAAGCAATAAATCACTCCTGAAGTTGCACTTAAAGTTTTAATAATTCTTAAAATAGAAGTGATTGAGTTAGATAAAGACTTAGCTTTAGTGATATATTATTAATATAAAGTATATATATATTTAATAAAGTATATATATCTAGCCTAACAGAGGATTTAAAAATAATAATAATAATAATTTATAATTATAAATGATTTTTTTTACAAGTTTTATAAATTTTTATTAAATAATAAATAAATAGTTATTAAATTTTTAATAAATAGATTTAATGAATAGTTAATAAATTTTTAATAAATAGTTTTAATGAATAGTTATCAAATTTTTAATAATTAGTTTTAGTAATTAGTTATTAAATTTTTACTTAATAGTTTAATGAATAGTTAACAAATCATTAATAAATTATTAACAAATATTTAATAAATTAGTAATAAATTAATACTAATAAATAATTTTGTGATAAACTTTTATTAAATTGTTAATAAATTTTTGTCAAATAATTAATAAATTATTAATGAATTGTTAATAAATTTTTTGATAATTTATTGTTAAACTTTTAATTATTAAATTTTTGATTAACAAATTTTTTTATTAACAAATTTTTTATTGTTACTTTATTGTTAAAATAGTAATACTATATGTTAATTAAAAAGAATTCATCAATATTTTTTATTATTAAATTTAATCAAATTCAATAATAATTTAGCTATTGAATGATATAATTTTAATTAGCAATAATTGATATTTTAAAAGATATTTTTGATAAAATATTTTATGTCAAATAATTATATTATTAATTATAATTACTTATAGTTAAAATTTATTAAAATATTTGAATAAATATTTGAAATCAATTCAAGTATTTTAACAAATTTGTAAATAATATTATAATAATTTATATTACTATAATATGATATTATTAGAAGACTTGTTAAATTGAATATATAGTTTGAAAGAGATTTTGAAATATAAAGAATAAAAAAAGGTGATAGAAAAAAGTAAAGGATCAATAATTAAATCTAAAAAATAAAAGACTTGTGGATTGATAGCACAGTGGTAGTGCTCTCAGGTCAAATTCATAAGATTCAAAGTTCAATACCACATGAGAACCAAGTGAAAAATTCAGTCACAAGGTGGTACGAAAATCTCATTCTCCCACAATAATGATCAAGTGTCCATAAGGCAATAAAGAGAATCATACACTTATCATGCCTATAGTAAGAACAATAAATCAACACATAAGGTTCTATATAAGGCTAGCATAAGTAACACAAGCCCTTCATATACAACTGATCTCAGGTATCTAACAGGAAAGTAAAGAAGGATCCTACCCATTTATTGCAACCATAACAAGACAAGATACACACAAGGTTCTATAAATATAATCAAAATAGGTAGAGTGAGGTTCCAGAAATACAAACAAGATCACCTCCTCAAAATAGAAGAAGAAGGACCCGATCACTCATAAAATTGACTACAACAGGCCTATAATAAGTCAAAATTCAACCTGGTGTAATGCTGAAAAAGAAACATAACAGGTTCTGATACTCAAGACTACCAATTGAGGAATCGATATTCTTTATATAAGACCTGCACTCTAATCAAGTAACTAGACAGTATCAGAAACATAACAAGTTTCTCAAAAAATAATTTAAAGTACTAACGGAATCAATAGAATTTCATATAAGAGACCCCTAACATCGGTGATGTTGGGCATCTTAGATGAGTTCCTGATATATTAGCTCCCTCATAAAGGAATAGTAACAGAATCATCCGGTGGACCATAGTCTTAGAAAGTGTCAGTTCAGAGTATTCGAGATAATAGGTGGGATTACCTCATTAAATTTGAAGGTAATAAAACTCTCCCAATCCTTAGTTGAGTTAGAATTAAGAATAAGTCCTACATTAAATGGTCATATAATTACCTTATTCTGGTTGGGTGAGATGTAAATAGATGCCCCTTGTACTATTCATTGATCTGTAAATCCTTAGACAGTATGGATAATTACTCATCCCAGTTGTCCTTAGAACTTATCTTGACTTTAATAAAGCTTCAGAACTGATACAGAAATGAACTAACCTTTAAAAAAAAAAATCTAAAAAATAAAAAATTATTAAATGTGAAAAATTATTAATATATTTAGAAAGAAAAAAAACAAACTTGAAAAAGTGTATGAATAGATAAAATTTGTGAAGGAATTAAAAAGTTAAATGAAAAAAGCAAAAAAACTTAGAAAAAATTTGACAAAGTAAAATCAATTGGATTAATTTCAAAAAAGTCAAACCAAAATCTTTTAAAAAAAGAAAAACAAGTATCAGAAAAATAAAGTACTGTTCCTTAAATCTGACTTTGAAATTTTGTTTTATTTAATTCAAACTAACTTAGTGAATTCATATTCTATGTAAAATTGCAGATGCTTATTTAATATCTCAAGAAAGACATGCCATAACGACATAATTACTATTAAAAAAAAAAAAAATAAGAAACTTGTAATAATTTAATTTTATAATTTGAATAAAAATATCTACTGTAATAGCCTGTAAGCAATAATGTTAGTAGTTGGAAGGGTATTCACCTGAATTACTAATGAAGCAAAAAATCACTTTCAAAATTGCACTTAGAGTTGTTTAAACAGAGACGAGTGAATTGGCTTTAACTATGCATAGATATACGTATGTACAATACAAAATGTTTAACAAGCACACACAAATAAATAAGCAATAGATAATCGATTTTCAATTTCGACGAATCTATATTTAAATATAGCACGAGTAAGATTCTTTTAATTAATAAAATTATTTCATTTTAAAAAGATCTTTATATCTATCGTGTGATCTCTTTTTTTTCATAAAATAAAATTTTTAAAGTATGAGATTAACCAATCAAATTATTACAATCAGATTATCTTTGACGTCGAGCTTAATAAATAGGTCAACAATTGACACCATCTTGTTCCAGTAAAATTAAAAAATGTCAAAGGAACTTCGTTTTGATGGACGTACTGTCATTGTTACGGGTGCTGGTGGCGGTGAGTCTAATTTATCCATTATTCCCTGTATTTGAGTTTGCAAAAGGGAAGGAAAAATTCATCAAACGTCTATCAGGACTCGGACGTGCATACGCACTCGCGTTTGCTTCTCGAGGTGCAAACGTCGTAGTTAATGACCTCGGAGTAACTCGTGCGGGTGATGGTTCCTCTTCCGCGGCTGCCGACAAAGTAGTTGATGAAATTATTAAGGCCGGCGGCAAAGCAGTATCCAATTACAATTCTGTTGAAGATGGTGACAAAATAGTCGAAACTGCTATCAAGGCATTTGGTCGAGTCGATATTGTGATCAATAATGCTGGGTAATTATTGTACCATTTTGTACTTGAGACATCTCAAATGTCTAACCATACTATTTCTTTATCACAGTATTATACGTGACAAATCTTTTGCAAGAATTACCGATGAAGATTGGGATCTTATTCAAAATGTCCACGTTCGTGGTTCATATAAGGTTACAAAGGCTGCTTGGGATCTATTCCGTAAGCAAAAGTTTGGTCGAATTATTAACACGGCTTCTGCATCCGGTATATACGGTAATTTCGGTCAGGCCAACTATACTGCAGGTATTTTAATATAACAATTGCTCCGTTTCGGAAAATGTTGGGTTAGTTGATTCGAGTGCAATGTCAAAGACAATTTTTTGATTTGTAGCTAAGCTTGCGCTAGTAAGTTTCACGGAAACACTTGCCAAAGAGGGGGCTAAGGATAATATTCACGTAAATGTAATTGCCCCAATCGCTGCGTCTCGTATGACTGAAACTATCATGCCTCCAGATGTTCTTGCATCTCTCAAACCCGATTATGTCGCGCCTCTCGTTCTCTATCTATGTCACGAATCTACAGAAGAGAATGGTAGTTTATTTGAGGTTGGCGCTGGTTTTGTGGCTAAACTTCGTTGGGAAAGGTCAAAAGGAGCAGTTTTCAAAGCAGACGATTCCTTTTTACCGGGTACTGTCTCCGCAAAATGGTCTGAAATCACGGATTTCTCTCAGGTAGACTACCCCATGTCTCCGGCTGATACCGACTTTCAAAGTTTGCTCGAGAAAGCAAAATCTCTAACATCCAACCCTAAGTCAGAAGATTTAAGGTTTGATGGTAAGGTTGTCATCATAACGGGCGCCGGGGGTGGTCTCGGTAGATCATATGCCTTATTATTTGGTCGATTAGGAGCTTCAGTAGTCGTGAATGATCTTGGAGTTAGTGCTCATGGGCAAGGAATGTCTGCAAGTGCAGCTGACAAAGTTGTCGAGGAAATACGTCAAGCTGGTGGTAAAGCCGTTGCAAACCACGATTCAGTTGAAGATGGCGAAAAAATCGTTGAGACAGCTATAAAAGCATTTGGACGTGTTGACGTTATTGTAAATAATGCGGGTATATTGAGAGATAAGTCATTTGCAAGAATAACAGACCAAGATTGGGATCTAGTACAAAGAGTTCATCTACGTGGAACATATAAAGTAATAAAGGCAGCTTGGCCTTATTTCACAAAACAGAAGTATGGTCGTATAATAAATACCGCTTCTTCTGTTGGTCTTTATGGAAATTTCGGTCAATCTAATTATAGCGCAGGTATTTTTATTATCGAGTTCGTTCTCTTTATACATGGTCATCTTTCTAAAACATTCAATTAATCATAGCAAAACTTGGCATCCTTGGGTTCAGTAACACTCTCGCTTTGGAGGGTCGTAAAAATAACATTAACGTGAATACCATAGCACCTAATGCTGGTACTCGTATGACCGCTACGGTTTGGCCACCCGAAATGGTTGAGGCTTTCAAACCTGATTATGTAGCACCATTTGTTGCATTCCTTGCCCATGAGTCGTGCTCTTCTACTGGAAATGTGTTTGAAGTAGGCGGTTGTTGGGCTGCTCAAGTTCGATGGCAACGATCTGGTGGTGTTGGTTTTTCTACATCTAAACCTTTATTGCCAGAAGACGTTAAATCGAAATGGATTGAAATAACGAACTTCGATGATGGTCGTGCTACACACCCTAGAACCACACAAGAAGCTCTTCAACAATTTTTTGAGAACTTCTCCAACGCTCAATCATCCGGATCTAAAACTCAAAAAGAAGCAGGATCTAGTAAAATTGACGTAGAGGCGGCAAAGAAAATGCAATTTAAACAAAATGAATTCGCATACAGTGAGAGAGATGTTATACTTTATGCTTTAGGTGTTGGCGCGACGCGTAACGACTTACAATGGGTCTACGAAAATCATGAAAACTTCTCGGTTTTACCGACCTTTGGTGTCATTCCGGCCCTGATCGTTTCGAGTTCATTCCCGTTAACATCAGTGTTGGGTGAATTTAACCTCGTATGTACTATTATTTATTTCGAATCTATAAGGCATGCCATTTAAGATGAAATTAAAAGTAGTATGCATATATTTTTCAAATAGATGATGCTTTTGCACGGTGAACAATATCTTGAACTTAAGAAACCTATTCCCACCTCGGGAAAACTGATTTCATCAAGTCGAATTGTCGACATTCTTGACAAAGGCAAAGGTGCATCCATCACTATTGGTGTTACCACGAGGGATGAGAAAGGTGAAGTCGTATTCGAGAATGAAACAAGTTTATATGTTCGTGGGATTGGCGGTTTTGGGGGGAAGAAGACGGGAGAGGATCGAGGTGCCGCTACTGCAGCAAATGTGCCACCGAAAAGAGCACCCGATGCCGTCGTTCGAGAAAAAACTTTCGAGAGTCAAGCTGCATTATATCGCCTTAGCGGGGATTATAATCCACTGCAC